AGACTCCAGAGAACTGACGGAAGGGATCTCCCAATTGACTGTGGGCAACAACCAGCCCCCGACTGCCGTCGAGCTGAAACTGACACCCTTGCAATAGGGAGCCATGCCTGGACTTGAAACGAAATCCATCCGAGACGCAATGTTAATGCTCTACGAGATCCGGGTAGAGCACCCCTGGAAGAGGACAAAAACTGGATTGTCCTCACCCAAAAAGATATGGACCACGGGAACACCCTACGTTGACATCTGCCAGGGGCAAACTTGCTTAAAAAGAAATCTCCAGCCAGGGAGATTCGATCGACTGACGATCCGAATGCAGAACTGGCCCCATCAGTGGCTGACTATCCAGCCCCTATTTTCTAAAACCTAAAATTCAGCAAATATCTTGCTGCTTTCAACCTCATTAAAATGACCACCAACTCCAAGGACAAACCGAAGTATTTACTCGACGAGGACCAATTGAAACCCCTCGTCACTGAACGCGCCAAAATACTCGTGACCCACATCGAGGGTAAGAAGATCGACATGAGCACCCAGACGTGCGTCACGCAGATGGGAAAACAGCACTCTGTTGGCAGTGTCAACTGTAGTTCGAGAGAACACCATCATCTCGACTGCGGACTGCCTTTGCGGCCCGGTTTCTATTCTTTCATATTCATATCCTCATGGGATTCAGCACGAAAGAGCACTGGAACATTGCTCTGGATGTTCCGGGACTTGAGCCTGTATTGCCCGAAGTGCTCTCACTGCAACATCCCCTGGAACGGTTGTGTCTTGGCCCCCCTGGTTGGTACCAACCGATCACCAGGTTGTGGTTGGCGGAGAGGAGTCTCTATTAAAGAAACGAATCAAAATCAAATTCGACAATCCTAGGGATTGTCCCCAACAAATTACGCAAGTTCCTGATACGGAAAAACGGGCTAGCATTCGCTCCTAAATTGGCGAACCCAAAAACCATGACGCCTATTCGATTATCTGAGGACAAGAGACAGCTTGCCGTCAAAGCCTTTGAGTCTCCCGAGACCCTGTAACATCTGGATGATATTGCCAAAGCACATCCCGAACTGAAGGACGGCGAGGAATACACCATCCTCATCCCGACGAAATATCGACATCAGAAGCAATAGGCAGCGAAGGCTCCCTTTCTCATCACCGTTCACCGGGGCTATGATTTAAGAGAAATCAAATTTAAATCACTACTGTAATTCTCTACTGTAAAACATATAAATCGTTTATATGTTTTTTTCTATATATTAGACGAATAATGCCGTTAATTGTGTATTTTCACCAGAAAAACTGACGTAATGAATATTTTTTGTTGTTGATGTAAATAAACATATCACGGTACCATCTTAGTATTAAGAATCCAATGAGAAAGAGAGAGAGGAAATTTTACCAGCCAAACAATTTCTCCACTCCCTGAAAAAGGAAGATTAACTTTCCACTTTAACAAAATTTGTCATTCTTAATGCTGGGCAGGAACATCATCTGGTTCTTACGCCGACGTGAAGGTCAAAAGAGGGAGTTTGTTAAGGGAGATATTAATTTTTTCCTTCAGTCGGCAATGTTTCTCCTAACTCCTACGCCGAGCAATTTCAGGACCAGCGGGCTGGACGATATTTTCTGTCCCGAAATCGAGCGAAATCGATTTTCTGACCTTAATAAGGCAATTATTTACCATTAATAGCATACAATGCAACCAATGCAGGACTATATGGTTTCTTCATGATTGAATGTAACGGAAAATAACAGAAGATCCAAATTCCTACAAAAATGAAAATCAACAAATAATAATAATCGTACTTAAATTGTTGATCATCCTTTTTTTAACTTCCTGTTCTATAGGAAGTTATTGTAATGACCCCGAAAATCAATATGGAAATTTTCAACATATCATCACGTTTCAAGGCCTCCAGAGTAATCCTGGACCATTTTCGAGAGGATGTCTGTGTGTGTGTGTGTGTGTGTGTGTGCGTATGTTACTGGCGATGTACGTGGCCGAAATTTATCGTCAACGATTTCTCAAAAATGGATGATGCGATCGAAGTCAAATTGATACCATCGAAGCGTTTTCACGCCATTTGATGCTGATTAGATTATAGAAGGAATTGCTCCAGCCGTTTTCCAGTTTTTCCAGAAAAACTGCGAAAACGGAAATTTCATCAACGATTTCTTGTCCGAAATTTATCGTCAACGATTTCTCAAAAATGGATGATGCGATCGAAGTCAAACTGATACCATCGAAGCGTTTCCACGCCATT